CATCCTACTCATTACTGCTAGCGGTAACACTACTCATTACTGCTTGCGGTAACACTAATGAATCCATTTATATAATACTTCTGCCTGTAAGACATGGGCTATATAAGTGCCCTTCGTATGGATAACGTCCTGTGACACTGAATTCTATTATTGAGACGAAGGATGAAAAATCAGGGATTATTATTTTCTTAATTCTTTCAATTGAGTTTCGTGTTCTTAGTGATAGCCATATAGGTGTCCACACCGGAGGGATTCTAACACTTAAGGTAACAATAACCGATATGATTGCAGAAGACTCACCTCTTGTTAATTGTCCTCGGGTACAAAAGACAGACAACACAGGAGCCTAATTCTCTTTCCCTTAATCAGATATTCTGCAGTCAAGGTTAAACAGAAAATAAAGTAGTAGTGGTACGTTCAGTGTGCCTAGCTTCATCATTCATGGAGCACCAGAATAAATAATGGAAGAGACTGTGTAAAATATGTAAAAAAAAAAAAATCCCACAGCACTTGGTCACTTACAATATGTGTTCAAATTTCAGCTTCCATGTACAAAAAGTGGTTGAGATATAATCCGGATGACCATTCAAGAACGACCCTTGGAGTGGCATGTGGGGACTGAATTGCCTCATCTAATCTAACATAATGAAATCTATCCAAACTGATGCTAATCTTATCTCAGCTAACCAAACTTAACCTTACCTTACCTCATCTTCCTTAACCTCACATTAATAACATAATGTGAGGTTTAGTCAGGTTCTGCTGTATATTTTTTCTTCAGTTGTATCAGCTTCCAAATTTATACTTCGAGCGATCTTTTTTTTTTTGGCTCGATTAAGGTTGTTTATGTAAGATAAAGTAGTGTCAGATCAGATTAAGCTAGGTAAGGCCTCAGAACATAAGAACAGGCAGCACTACAGTATTTACACCCAATATTTACTACTCATATATCTTGTCCAACTTAGATTTGAAGTTCCAAGCCAGTTCGAGTTAATGATGGTGTTTCTTAATTTGTACACTCTTCCACAACTATAATTCAAATTAACTGGTTCCCTATTTCACGTCTAATATATATATATATATATATATATATATATATATATATATATATATATAATTTTTTTTTTTTTTTTTTTTTTTTAAAGCTATTGTTACGTTTTCCTTTCTGGTTTGATAGTTCAAGTACTTTAGTTATATCACCTTTCTTTGACCCCGTCTTCCATTATACTTCGACCATACCGCCTCTTTCCTCGTCTCTCAGGAGAATGCAAATTCTGTTTTCGTAATCTGTTTCTATTTTCAAAGTTCCTAATGCCTTGCATTAGATTTACCATCCTCCTTGACCAAACCTGAACCGCATAATCCAAGTGCAGCCACACATGCGAGTGATCTAGTTTAGGGATGGCCTCGCTTATTCTGTTAGTAATGCTCTTAAAAATGAACCCAAATACTTTGTTATCTCTATTTTAGGTTCCTACTTGGCATTACCCAATTTACATTTATTAACAGTAAATGCATCTGCCATTTTTCATTTCATACTAATATTTTGCTTAAGTCTTCCCGCAAGATTTGAGAGACCTAATCATATTTAATTACACGTCATATCTTTGTGTAGTCAACAAATTTGCTTACTTGTTTTATTAGCTCCAGGGGATTGACCAAGTGGTTAAACCATGTTTAGTGCTAGCTGGGAACAACTCTGTGTCACTCTGAAGACTGAGCTTGTGAAGGTTAAGGATGAAAATGTGAGGCCCAAGGAGGAAGATGTGTGACTGGGAGAGTCTGTGAAAGACGACGACGCCGACCAGTGGAAAGCAGTGAAGAGAGGACTGCCTCGGCTGGTGGTAAAAACACAAAAATATCAGCTAAGTGTTCAAACTCTTTTAGTCTTCTGGAAGATGAAATGGACGGTAAGAAAGAAAAGGATAAAGTGGACATGGAAGGTGATTCTCAGGTAAGGTACATGGATTATGTCTTTTGTGATAGAGACATGAGTAGACGGATGAGGGTGTTGTAATGACTGCTTTGGGCACCATTGTAGTGACTACCATTGACACTATTATGAGTATATAGTGAGGGTTTATAGTAAGAGGGATTGCAAAGTGAGAAAAGTTGGTAGCGTGACCCAATAGTTTATATCACACTTAATATGATCTTAGATGGAATATTCTAAACAACAATTATTCTACGTACAGCTATTTATTAGTTAAGTGAATGAGCACGGGACACACTATGAGTCGTTCTGATAATGACTCACGTGTAACCTGTGGGAGGCTCAGTAGCTGGGTTCTCTGACTGCAGGGACTGGTTCTGCTGGGGAGTGTGGTCCTCCTCCTCCTTCTGGGTCGGGACTTGGCTTGAATGTCACTCCAACTGCGGCTGGCTTCTGTCTGACCCTGAGAATAAGCTGTAGGCCCCCTTTAATCGTCCTTTTTTTTCTTTTAGGTCACGGGCCCTTTCTTTTACAAATCTGACAAAAAACTTCCTTGTCCATTTGTCCCTTCTTACCTGGCGCTTGGGGTTTTTCTAGGTCACCTGTCCTGGGTATTGTAGGCCTACCCTGGGCTCTCCCTCCATAACCGTTAAGTACGTCATTCACCTAGTTTGGATAGCTTTGTTCTGACAGAAATTCGCTATAGTGTGTTTGCCAGGAGCTAGGGTGGGTGACATAGCAGACAGGATGAACAATATCATGTCTGTTAATGGGAACTAATCTAAGTGCCTCAGTGCAGATGGCAGCGATATTGGCTGGTGTAAGAGTGAAGAGCTCATTGGTAAGTTAAAAGTAGCTATTGGCTCTATTAGGAAGAATGGCTGTCTTGACAGATATTGCAAGTCAATATCAGTCCCATTTGGTGACAACTAGGACTGCTTCTCCGGTAGATGGGATCTATGTGCAAGGGATGGGGTACGTTTATCTAGGGACACGGTGGCAACCATAGCTAACTCCCTCAAGAGAACAGTTGAAAGGATGTAGAAGAATTCAAACTGCATGAGGGTAGAAAGGACTGCAATTGGCACGAGGATACATATTGAAAGGTTACTAAGAAAGTGTACTAAGAATGACAAAAAACGAAATTAGATAGAGAGTTGGACACAAAACGAGACAGAATGAAGACTCAGATCTACGTGAACAGTAGAAGGGCGAGAAACAAGATGAAAGAAATCAGAGCTCTGCTATATACTTAAAAAAAATCTATGTTATAGGAATCCCTGAAACCTAGATTAACTTAGACTCACATGAGTTACCTGTTGAAAATCAAATTAAGGGTTGTCACCTATTTCATACTGATAGGAAGATGAGGAAATAAAGTAGGCTAGCACTCTATGTCAGGGATAATTTGAAGTGTGGTATCAAAAAAGAAATATAAATACAAATTGACTACAGAGGCAGTTTCAATAGAATTAACCGATGGCGGGCAATTAATAATAGGAGTAATATATACACCTACTAAAGTGGATAAGAATGAGAGAAACTTATTTACGATAAAATACGAAGAACTAGACACTTGAAAGTCTGTATAGTAGGGAATTTAAATAGATTGGACTGATATTACAAGTACAGTAATTGTGAATCAGAGGCTTTCCTTGAAACACTTCAGGGATTTTTCCTTAATCAACAATACTGTATAAATGAACTCACCCGGGGGAATACTTTATTAGATTTAGTTTTTTTCAAACAAAGAAACCCACATTAATTATTTCGACTTAGGGAGCGAACTAACTAACAGCGGTCATAGAGAATTAAGATTCAAAATAGCACTTAACGTTAGTCGCAAGGAAAATTCCATTGAATTCCCAAATTTCCGTAGGGCTAACTTTGACAGTTTCAAAATGCAGGTGAAGAAGACACCTCACGTTTAGGTTTAATTTACACGACCTCACAAGAAGGTTTAAATAACATGACCTCACATGTTGTGACTGCAAAGGGTGACCCTACCTAATCAGGTGACAGGAACACGATATACGAGTACCATAACAATTTGTATATTGAATTTAATAATACGCAAAAGCGGAATATATCATATAAAAAACAAAGATCAAGTAAAAACGACTACAAACAGATGAACAGTTATTTCAAGAATAGTAGTGGGCAGAAAAGGCTATATATAGAAGAATCAAACAGGCAGATGTTTACCTCCAAAATTATTTGAATTAATAAAAATAAAATAAAAATAAAAAAAATGGCAAGAATGACATAGGGTTTCTTCCCAATGTACCAAATTAAACACGCGACAAGATTGGACCAATAGTCAAATAATTGCGAGCCAACTGATATTGAGGGAGAAATGAGCAATATTCTGAATATATATTTTTCATCTGTTTTCACAACCGAAATCTTAAACATGACCTGAGGTACAGTACATACCTTACGTGCGAATCCCCAGCTATTAAGGGTTTTTTTAACCTTCATTATCGACCTTAACTTTATCCTTCTTACCGTTCAATTCGTCCTTCAGAAAATTGAAAGAGTTAGAACACTTACCTAATATAATGTGCTTCACCACAAGCCCTGTCGCCCCTCTCGCAACTTCTTTCCACTGTTTCGGCGGCATTGTCCATCGCAAACTCTCCCAGCCACAGATTGTCCACCTTCAGCATCACATTACCCCCCTCAACTTAACATTCTCCTTCCTCAGCCTCACAGTCTTCTTCACCTTCACAAACTCAGCCCTCAGGAGGTACAGAGCTCTTCCCAGTTAGCACAAGATGTGGCTAAAGCACTTGGATAATCCCCGGGGTTAACTTTTCACAACCTTTCCTCTAGTGAGGTCAGTGGTCAATTGTTTAAATTGTATTAAATTAGGTTTTATTATATTAGGTTCGAATAAATATGCAGATATATTTACACACACACACACACACAAACTGATGTGATCGAGGTCGGCCGGTCGGTCAGAGATGGGCTAGGTGGGTTAGGTGTGGTCCAAAGGTGGGCCAAGTGGGTCAGAGGTGGGCCACAACGCAACAATAATCTCTGATGTGTCTGTCATCTACAGGTTCCTCTCCACGGGCCTCCCTGATGCTGCTGTTGTTACCCATTACATTGCTATCTTCCTGCTGCTGTGAAGCCGTCACACGGATGCTGTGACGTCCTGACGTCGCTGTTACTCCCCATTATAGCGCTCTACGTCTACTGCCCTGACGCCGTCAAGCAATTGCTGTGGCGCCCTGATATTGTTACTACTTGGTGCGCTGCTGTCTTGCTGCTGAGACGCCCTGATGCTGTACTACCTGTCACCCTGGTCTCCTGGCGCTGCCCGTCACGCTGCTCTCATCCTGTAGCTGCATCGTCTTCACGCTACGGTGCTGCTCTGTTCCCATTGCTGTGAGGCCGCGATGCTGCCTTTGTGACGCCGTGACGCTGTTCTAGTAATACCGTAGAGCTGTTCTTTTGACGGTGTGATACTGTTCCTGTGACAATGTAATATTGGTCCCGTGACGCCTTGGCGTTGTTCCTTTGACACTGTTCTTCTGACGATGTTCCTTTAGCACCGTAATGCAGTTCTTGTAACGTTCTAACGATGTCCTATGAAGACGTGACGTTGTTCTTACGACGCCTTGATGCTCTTGTTATGACACCGTGACGAATCTCTAACGTCATGTCACGATTATAGTGACACCAAGACATTGTTCCTGTTTCGTCTCCCTGTTACTGCTGCCCGCGACGATGTTCTGTGTCTGTGACGCGGTATATTTTACGTCACACTAACGCTGCCCCTTTCCCCATACTGCTACAGCGTGACGCAGTTGTTTTAAAGGCTCGACGGAGAAAACTGGGTATTTCAATGTGACATTAGGAATATAATGGAGTGAGAGTGACGGGGGTTATGTGACGGTGACAAGATACAGTGTGACGCGTGACCCAGCCGCCACTGTTGGTGGGACAGAAAATTCCCATTTAAGAATCAGATTGACCTCAGAGCAAAAGAGAGGTACAAGTTTAACTCGGAATTTCTGGATCTTGGCCTAGCTTCGCTATCCTAACTTTACCGAACTCATCCTAACTTACCCTAACAACTTATTGAAACTTAATATAACTTAATCTAACCTAACTGAAAATAACCAAATTATAGCCTAATCTAACTTTGCCCAACCTAACCTGATTTAGGTCCATATTTTAGGATTAGTTTTACCTGCCTGTGTTAAAGTGGTAGGGAAAATGTTCTACCATACTTATCTCAACACACTTCTTTTTGTTTATTCTCTGATTCTAATATGTTCCCCACTTTTACCTAATCATGGAAAGCGTAATCATCACTTGTCATTTCTCTCACATGATCTACCTCTTTTTAAGTTTCTCCCCACTTCATTATACTTTGAATTTGTGTCTGCGTAAGAACCAGGTACTTCAAAAACTGGAAACTGATATTAATGAAACTTAGCAGGTAATATAGGTTCTTGCCAAAAAATAAATACGAACTCCATCTGTGATGGAAGGTGATAGCTGGAGTCAGATGGTCACTGGAACAAAGTGATCGCTCTAGTATACAAGGTGGACACTTGAGTGAGGTGGTCGCCTAAGTAAGGTAGTCACTTCAGTAACGCAGACATTAGAATAAGCTGTTCATTGTAATAAGATGCTCTCAAGAATAAGGAGGTTACCGGAAGAAGATAGTCACTGGAATGTGGTAAGTGCTGGAGTTAGGTGGCTAGTATTTGCTAAACAAAAATACAAAACTGACACCACAAACAACATCGTAGATGCCTTCAAATATTAATTTAGATTATATAATGTAAAGGTCCGTAAAATAACTTTGATGCAGCTGATTTAAGACATAACATATCTGTTAATATTGTCTCTCCTTTGTCAAAAGTCTGGAATTCTAAATTTGAACCATGTTTTTGAGCTTTGATTTTTTTTCTTCTTAAAATCAATTAACTTTTTCCTCGGGCAGTACCAAGCCTAATCTTAACGTTTCCTCGCAAATTATCAGCACCAAAATTACTTTCATATTCCAGCACACAGGTTGAAGGATTCCCAGTCGCCGCCCACTTCGAAAACTTTGTAAACTAATGTGTCCTTTGTAACTGGACAATTGTTCGCCTCCTTTTCGATATCGTTTCTACACCTTTAGGCGATACCAGCGACATATGAGGTTTCGGGAAAAATACAGCAATTATATCAAACGCTCATTCTTCAAATAAATCAGTGTAGGTTAATTATCATTATTGAGTATTTTATGATTAAGAAATGTTTTACTCATAAATAATATTGTTAAAATTCAGCAGCATGTTTAAAGATTTGTGAATGTAAAAAATAACTTGCAAACTGGAAAATGGTTCTTTAATTTAATAGCCAGTCACTAAAGAGCAAAGTCGGTTATCATAACATACCCCGGTCACCAAATATCTTACCCCGTAACCACATGACCTACCCCTTCACCGCATAACCAGCATGCCACCACATAACCTACCCCGGCACAACATAACCTACCCTGTCAGCATAGAACCTAGCACGTAACCACATAAACCAACACGTCACCACATAATCCAGTACGTCACCACATAGCCTAGCACGACACCACATAACCTAACGCGTCACCACATAATCTAGCACGTCACCACATAATCCAGCACGTTACCACATAATCTAGCACGTCACCACATAGCCTAGCACGTCACCCTATAACTTGCACGTTACCACGTAACCTAGCACGTCACCACATAACCTAGCACATCACCACATAACCTAGCACGTCACCACATAATCTAGCACGTCACCACATAACCTAGCACGTCACCACTTAACCTAGCACGTCACCACATAATCTAGCACGTCATCACATAACCTAGCACGTCACCACATAACCTAGTACGTCACTACATAACTTAGCACGTCACCACATACTCTAGCACGTCACCACATAATCTAGCACGTCACCACATAGCCTACCCCGTCACCACATAACCTAGCACGTCACCACATAATCTAGCATGTCACCACATAGCCTAGCATGACACCACATAACCTAGCCCGTTACCACAAAACCAAGTCCATCAAAATACAACCTAGCACGTCACTACATAATCTACTATGTTACCATTTAGCCTAGCACGTCACCAAATAATTGACACGTCACCACATAACCTAGCACGTCACCACATAACCTAGCACGTCATCACATAATCTAGCACATAACCTCATAACTTAACACATAGCCACATAACCTAGCATGTAACCAAATAACCTAGCACGTCACCACATAACCTAGTACGTCACCGCAATGAAGCTTCGCCATGAACGATAAAAATTGGGTTAGGAGGTCGACCAGTTTCTAGTCAGGGATAGGGCCGATCACCCCCTAAATACTCAGAAAGGGTTTTGCATGCAATGATCCAATTTTTCAACTCTGTGAAACTTGGTAGTGTCAAAATCGCTGGGTCTGTGAGTCCTTACCGCACTCGGTGGGTGAATGTGTCGGCCTGTCTGTCATCTGTTTGACTATAAACTCCTTCTTTTTGAAGAGTCAAGACCTACTTGCAGAGTATAAAACTGTAAAGTGACTTTCAAATTTGGCCTGTATCTAAATTGCGAAGTTCTTACCAACCTGTTTGCAAGGGAACTTTAACAATTTATTCTTCTTGATAAAACAAGGACAACTTTTCAATATATAAACTTGTTTAAAAAAAATGAACATTAATTTTCCAATACTGATTGTGATATGCTTAATTATCCCCACTAGGCAACATATTTAAACAAAATAGTAACACTTATTTTGAGTATTCTGTTTCAATTATAATTTATACTGAGAGTAAGAGTACTAATAAATTCATATGTATTTTCAATACCGTACTGTACATGGTTGTTATAGCCATGTTAATTTCTCTCATTCTGATATGCTAGGCAATACAAATTTTTTAGTTCATTGTCACACAAATTGTTGTGTATTTTCCCTTGTGAATTATTTTATTTTATTTTATTTTATTTCATTTTATTTTAATTTATTTTATTTATTTTATTTTATTGATATGCATAACATTATCGATGTAGGTGTATTATCTAATACTATATTTGGTCCTCGCACTTAGTCATCATTGTATTCCCTTTAAATTGTTTTTCTTATTAAGATAGATGATTGATAAACAATACCTTTATCAGACTCATCTGTAGAAAAATTTGGGCATTGCCCCACCCCTCCCACCAAAAATCCTAGCTAAGTTACTGAGATCGATGAATTTGTGACTGGATGATTCATATACTATTGAATTCACAGGCACTGATGTCAGTTAAGATAGACACTAGTACTTTCAAAGTTTTTTTTTTTTAGAACATTCTTACCTAAGAACAGACAAAATTGGGAATTTCACTTCTGGACGTAACGTTGATATTGGGAACAGCCATAGAGTTTGATTTCACAAAAGCTGGTTTACGGTTTTGGAAGTGATATACTACAAATACTATAATATCAAGACTACATTTTGATCATAATCTACTAAATCGTCATATTTCAGTTGAGCTTTAACCTCGTATTTGGTTTATGTCGCCGTTTCCTTGTACAGTCTTTATGATAAAAAAAGGGTAGAAACGTGTCGCTTTCAGCATAATATTGTGGGCGAGCCAAAGGATCTCATTTAACCTTGTGAGATCGGCACAGTAAACACTCTTAAGAAACTGGTTTCTTAAATTCCTCAAGTTGTTCCTCCATTTTGCTTCCCCAACATGAGTTATTCCTCCATTTTCGTTCCCCAACATGGAGTTGGTTTTGATTTTAGCTTTACTAGTTTTGATTTATAGGAAATCATCTTTCAACGTCAATTGTTTTCAGTTCCTATTATTCGCTGTTCCCTTAATACATCACCCCCCAGCTCTTGTTTACTACACTGTGCATGACGCTAGACTCAGTATTGTGAATAATCATAGCCCCTTGTCACACCTGCATCTCTCTCCTTCCCCATTTTCCCACTGCTAGTGTTCTACTTTAGGATTATAGCTAATGACTTATTAACTTAAGGTACAAATGATTACAAAGTACGGAGCATGCACGTGCTTAACTCCCCAATCTATATACTGTAGACACAAGAGAAAGACTTTATTTCCTCTTTTTTTTTTAACTTGTTACACAATTTGGAAACTAAGACCTGGTGAGCGGTTCTTATAGAGCCTGGCTGTTAAAGAACTTAAAACTATGACTTATAGACAACGATCCTTAATAACACGGAGAGTTTAAAAAACCCTGGCAGGTGAAGCACCTAAAAGTAACCCCTAGTGAATGGTACCCAATAACCCAAGCAGTTAAAATACCTAGATAAGATCTTGAGAATGGTGCATAATAACTCAAGCACCTGAAACTAAGCACACCAACAGCGAGGTGGAGTTAAGGCTGAAAGGAACACGTAACTACTAATTTTAAGTTTAAAGAAATTTGCGCACATCAGTAATTCTACAGCTATATTGCTTATAATGATTATACATAATGATTCTTCTTTATTATCTTCTTCTGATAACTATGAAGGAAGCTCAATAATACGTAACATAAAATTATTTTGCTACTAAAACAATATGTAATTTTCATTCATGTTTTTTCTTCAAAAATCTATCTATCTTGTATCTTTGTACGTACTGCCTCGTTCAAGATTTTTCTAACATTGCTGGAGACAGCTGGCAACTAAGGCCGTTTGTTTACTATAGTACGTAGTAAAAATTATGAATGAATGTAAAATTGATCGGTGATTGGTTACTTAGTTCCCCGTTGGTTAATTAATGGTTGGGCTTTGTTGTTTCGTATTATATTATACTACTCATTTTAGTAAACAAACGGCCTTGTGTTGCCAGCTGTCTCCAGCAGTGTTCGAAGAATCTTGAACAGGTCTGTAGACACACACACACACACACACACACACATATATATATATATATATATATATATATATATATATATATATATATATATATATATATATATATATATATATATATATATATATATATATATATATATATATATCTTGATAAAATCACACGAAAATGGAGCACCTTAGCTTTCGTCTTTATTCAAGACATCTTCAGTTGCCTCTGAAGATGTCTTGAATAAAGACGAAAGCTAAGGTGCGCGTTGTTCCCATTTTCCCGTGTGATTTTATCAAGATTTATCTTATCCACGTTTTCATTGTGGAATATATATATATATATATATATATATATATATATATATATATATATATATATATATATATATATATATATATATATATATATATATGCAAGTAAATCACTGTAGGTGCTCGTGATCCAGGTATATGCTGATAACCACAAGGAAACAAGGAAACACGAAGTTCCCAAGCGCTTTCGTGTAATTCACATCTTCAGGGGTGAGTACTGACTAAGGAGTAATATTTGACAAGGTTACAAATCTTCTTAATCACAAAATTATCCAGTTTGTACATACCATTACTCAAATTCATGTTGAGAGATTCGGTATGTTTAATGGGACTGGATTCTATAATGTTCCTACTGACAATTGAATTACAAGGTAATGTTGAGGAGGCATTATCCCAGTCCTAACACTATATTTATGCTGTTTAAGTCTAGTTATAAGATCTTTACCCGTCTGGCCTAAGTAGAACATAATACATTCCTTGCAAGGAACATTGTATATGCAGCCGCCTGCATTGTTGGGGGGAGTTCTTAATTAATATTTGTTTTTCAGTGCATGAGTTTTTAAATGTCACATTAACGTTCCAGGTTTTCAGTTGCATGTGAATTTGAGAGAAATTTTTGTTAAGTGGTAATGCTAAGAGATAATCTTATTGTCACGGGTTGGCTTAGGATCAGTTCTATAAAAAAAAAATTCTTAGTAATGTTAAGGCATTTGTCTATAAAAGACCTAGGGTACTTAAGATTAAGAAGATTTGTAACCAGGAGAGAAGATTGGGTCATCTTACCCTGACTACGGACAGCTGCTGTGCTTAGAGATGACATGGTCATTTTTTTTTTGATAAAGAAGATTAGTAAGGGTCACTGCCTAATGACCGGAATATTGTGGACACCTGCTATCCCTTAGGGACTTGATCTTACTCTCCTCTGCTGTATATATTAACCTTGTCAAGTATTACTCCTTAGTCTGTACTCACCCCTGATGATGTGAATTACACGAAAGCGCTTGGGAACTTCGTGTTTTCTTGTTTCCTTGTGGTTATCAGCATATACTTGGATCACGCGCACTTTCAGTGATTTACTTGCATATATACATATATAATTACCGATTAGCGATAATTTCTATGCATTTATTTTTTTTTTGAAATTTGTGAACTAGCTATAACCGATCATGCAAATCATAAATTATACATACACATAAAGTTTCACACAATCCTAACCTAATCTAAACTAACTTAACCTAGCCTAACAATACCAAATCTACTTAAAGTATAATTTTGCTATCATATGATAATAAACGGCGTTTTAAACGGACAACTGGAAAGTTTATGCATAAATTCATTTTCATTTAGTCATAGCCCCAAAACAAATTAAAAGTTATCCTTATTCGGCATTTGTTTTGGTAAACAAGTTATTCCCCCAGGAAAGTTCACCTATACAGTGTACAGGTTGACAATCCTTTATCCGAAATCCTTGGGGCCAGAGGCATTTCGGTTTTCGGAATTTTTCGGTTTTCAGAATTGTTAGGGTTTTTTTTTTTTTTTTTTTTTTTTTTTGTGTGTATTAGCCCACCCGGGCATAGATCACTGACCCACATTGGGGCCTGGGGGTCTAAAATATAATAAAAATTATAATAATAATAATAATAATTCATAGGTCTAGGTCGTGTTTCTCACTTTTGATCTTTTTTTCATTCTTGTATTTCTTTACTGTATTATTATTTTATTATTACAGTATTATTGTTATTATTATTATTATTAATTTTATTATTATATTTTATTATTATTATTATTATTATTATTATTATTATTATTAGTATTATTATTATTATTATTATTATTATTATTATTATTATTGTAATCATTATTATTTTATTTTGGTGTATAATTATTAAAAATTTTATTTACTATGAATAATTATTATTATAATTATTATTACTATTACATTTTTGCCCCCCAGGCCCCGATGTGGGTCAGTGATCTGTGCCTGGTTGGGCTAATAATCCCTGTTAAAAAAAAAAAATAAATAAATAAAAAAAAAATAAAAAATAAAAATGCCCCACAAAAAACTCGGTTTTTAGTGCTTTTCGGTTTTCGGAATTTCGGATAAAGGGTTGTCAACCTGTACTTATCACCCTTGAAACCTCGTCTACTATGAAGAATAAGTATAACCCTGAACGATTCACCAAATATTGTATAGTAGTGCGAGGTTTGCTCTCATCCGGCTCCTCCACAGACGATGAGTAGCCATGGGATAATTTTTTGTGTTTGTTTTAGGTAACTTTAAGAGCACTTGGTAGATTAATGCTATATTTAGTAAATCGTCTGACACTAACCACTACAAAAGGCTTTCGATGATGCACCAATACCGAATATTTCATCTTATTAGAAAAACTAACAAAATTTATTAACCTTGACCAGCCAAGCAATAAAATGTTTAAAGCTTAAAAAAAATGATCATTATGGGGGAGAAGTAACAGGACTGGGGTAATTCGGGGATCTATCCCTTTTTCGGTCATAGATAATCCCGTAAAGTCTAGTTGGCTGTTGGTAATCCAACGACATAATCAGACCTTGGGTCATACAAACAGCACACTGGACATAGAGAACAACTTCATACCAGGTAGCGTTAAAAAGTTATTGATTTTAGTGTCTCATCGTTATTCTTTCACTTTCATTATGAATGGT